GGCAGCCCATAAGCATGGCCTTTCTTGCACACAGCTGGCCCAGGCAATTTGGCTATTTCGGCCCCCTAGCGCTCTCAGTTTAGCCTTCGGTAATGTGGCCAAGCTGCTCAGACAGTCTTTGTGAATGAGAGCATCTCTAAACCTTCTCTGGAACATTGGTTGGCTGCCTGCCACAGGGACTGCTTCTTCTAGGAAAAACAAAACTCCCACAAGCCCCAAATTTTACAAGCCCAGTTATACAAAAAAGTAGGTGGAGTTCTCTACAGTGGTGGAACACTATGGTATTTTTTAGCCAAGTGACATTTGCAATAGAGGCACGAACCTTGAGAGCAGAGTATATACGGCCAGCACATAATGAAGAGCCAACTCCAGCTGTTTTTTCCTAATTAAATCTCAAAAATGGGAAATGATGGATGATCTAATCAAGCCCCTTCACATCATTTGCTATGAGATAGAATATCATTCACAGTTGTTATTTTTTTCTCCAGACATGTCTAGCAGAAGGGCTTTTCTCCATGCTTCTCTTATCCGAGCTGCTGTTCTTTTCCATTGCTCGGTGCGAGGCACAACAGGCACCTGCGCAGCAGTTACTGCTGGCTGCTATTGCACACTGCAGGGCGCTCACTCATCTCCATCCCTGCCTCTGGGAAACTTGAACAGCTTGTCTAGCATTGGACAAAACTGCTGAACTGTCTCCTGTAATGCTCTATTATTCTCCTCTGCCGTAACACACTGCTTCTGATTTTTGCCTTGCCAGTTTGCATGTGTATATAGGCACTCCCTGGAGTCTGAAAGGGATGGGGACCACAGAGAGTCAGGAGGAATGCCTGCAGCTTGTGTGGGCTCTGTGTTCCGTCTTTGCAAGCAGCAGGGCTGTGACAATGCAGATACTCCCCATTAGAGCCTTGCAGGCACTGCACATGGACACTCCATTTCTGCGGCATGTTGGCTGGCAGTAATGATAGGGCTCTGCTCACTGGTTTAGTTACACACTGGCAACCTGTCCACTTTTTGTGCTTTATTTATCAGGTATTAATTGCAGCTCCCACTCATCACCTCCTGCCCAAATCGCTGCATTGTCTGCGCTGCCATCAGACGTTCCCTTATTTCTGCTTCTGTTGTCAGCATCAGAAAACTCAATTACGCGGGAGCATGCATGCATACCCAAACACACAGTAGTAGGCTTGTGCTGATGTTTTTAAAGATACACATCTGCTGATACTAAAAATAGGTCCTTGTCAGCAGCTTGGTAATTTTAGGCTCAATGAGAATTCATCCCCATGGTAACTGTACAGTTGTTGAATCATTTATTATTTGAGCTTCCAAATCACAACAGTGCTGGCAGTGCTTTCATCCTCTGAAGGACCCTTTGCAGTATTACAGCACTCCCTGCTTCACACCGGTGATATTTATCGAGCAGACTGCCCTCCCAGCACCCACATCTCCCTGCTGCAGGAGGATGGGATGCAGACAGCAGCCTCTACAGAACTGCTTGGATGCAACTTGAGAGCGCAGCCCTGTGCCTTGTTCTTTGTCTCAGTGACCATAAGAGGATAGCAAGAGTTGCAAGAAGTTTTGCAGATAAACGGGTGGCAGTTTTAACCCTGTAGATAGATGTGTTTGGCTTCCAACTGTGGGGGCACACTGCCTGGCTCCTTTGTGATAAAAGCTGTTTGCACTTTCTCCCACTTGCAGATAACGCCCATTGGCCAACAGGTGCCAAAGCAAGCAGAAGCTGCCCGCTTGCCTGCCAAAGCACAGGGCGACACGCGGATGCCTGAGCCCAGGGGCTGTCGCAGGTCTCTGTGCTCTGCAGAACGTGGCAGGCAGCCCTCAGTGCTAGAGATCCAGCAGCAGGAGCTCCTCCATCCCAAATGGGTGCGTTGCCATCACAGTCAGGTATTATAATTCATCTATCAGCTCCCTGTTACTGGATTTTTCCATCTATTTAGAACTGTATTTTTCATCTGAGATTTTGGCTAGTAAAAATACCTCATCCGCAATTCATGTTATCATAGTGGCAAGGGTCTTCTAACCAAGACAAGCTGCCAAGCACTGGGGTGTGCTAGAAATGTTGTTACCTCATAGCTTTGTGCTCACTTATGATCATTTATAGGAACCATTTATCCCATGTAGCATCCTTTCCTTCTTTCTCTTGTAAGCTGATTAATGTGTAATGAGACTTTTCCACAAATAAAGAATATGAGGCCCTGAGCACAGGCTACCCAGAGAAGCTGTGGCTGCCCCAGCACTGGAGGCATTCTAGGCCAGGTTGGATGGACCCTGGGCAGCCTGAGCTGGTGGTCTATTTAGGCTCACAGATCTGTAAGAGCTTTGCTTCCAATTACAAGAAGAGACATCACTTAAGAGTGTGCCACACTTCTATCTGCCCATCCATCACTAGAAGCATTACTGGAGTAACCTGTGGACTGATCCAATGACCTCGTGTTATCATCAGGGTGACAGCACAGCATCATGTCACCAGCTGGTTTTATTTCAAAGCTGTCTGGGTCTTTTCAGGCTATCTTAGCTGTCTGTGCTCCTGTGACCAGGACACATTACTAACACCCCAGGCCTTTTTCTGCAGAGCTGCTGGGCAGCCCCTGCATGTGCTGGTGCCTGGGGTTGTGTCTCCCCAGCTGCAGGCCTTTGTACCTCTTCTTGATGAATACCCACAAGGTTTCAAGTAGGAGGGAACTGTCACAGTGGTAAAAAACCTCTGTTGGTTCCCTCTGCCCAATGGGGCCTTTGGACACTCACAGCTGTGCCCAGGACCAGAGCCACACGTGGTGGCAGAGCGCTGGCTGGAAAGAAGGGACTTCCACATGGGACACCAAGAGATGCATAGGGACACACTCTGTAGGCAGAGGTGTGATAATCAGTGTGATAAACTTGGAAAAAAAGAAAAAAAACCAACACAACAGTTCGGATTTCCAGACCATTCTTTGGATGCAGTAATTCAGCATCTCAGCCTTCTCACAGGCAGGCACAGCTGGAGTATGGTTTATTGATGTTCCAGAGGGCTACAGAGGGCTGTTGCATCTTGCCTAGCCAGGCTGACATGCACAGCCCAGACAGCACAGAAGTAAATGACATTCAATTTGGTTGATATTTAATTACTTTAATAATACATTTGACTGGCAGTTAATCACTTTTTCCCCACATGACCCTGGTGTTTCTTTACATTTTACTGATTCCCAGTCCAGACCTTTTGAGCAGGTTTGCACTGATTCTGCAGCTGCTTTGCAATCCAGCTCCTCATCATCACCAACCAACATCACAAACCAGAGGTGAAAAAAGCCAGAAGGAAGCTTGAACCACTCTGAATGCTCCCAGCTCCTTTGGTGGGAGCTGAGCCCACTCTGGGCACAGCAATGAGGGGACGTCAGGCAGCAGACCAGATGCAGCTTCCATTAGAGAGTACTAATTACATGCTTACAGACTTGGGGTATTTGTGTGCAAGTTGTATTAATCAATGCATATTTACTTGCAGCTTGCAGTCTTTGAAAAGAAGAAAAACTGGCATCCACAGACCAAAATAAAACTGAAACACTTCAAGTATTCAGTAGCTTAGAAACAGTCTGATTTTGGTGGCTCAACCTGCATTGTAGGAAACGTGAGATAAGAAACTTCGCTGTTATCAAAACTGGCCAAAAAGGCACCAATAACAGAGCCTCCTTATCAGAGGGAAGACTGTTAGGCAGCCCCCTGGAAAAGCACTATCTGCTTTTTCAAAAAAGTGAGCATTTCCCACGTGCAGTGGCAGATCCCATTAGAGCCAGTGGGATGTTTCCAGGCCCCCAGAGCAGCATGGCACTGCCAGCACACCCCAAGGAGCACCCACAGTCCTGCATGGCTGCTGGAGCAAGGGGTTACAAGGGAGACTGCCCTCCTTCCATCACTCCTTGTGCAAAAGTGCCACTAGAAGAATAAAACATTAGGTGGGAGTTTTAGGAACTCCTCTATGCTCAAAAACAAATTCCAACTCTAAATGAAAGGAATTTTTAGTAGGAAAAAAACTTGTGATGGAATTCTCTTATTTTTTAACATTGTATTAAAACAAGGAAAAGATTGTACTGTTCCTGGTCAAACAGCATTGTATCGTGTCAGGCAGACTGATACCTCAACCACAGAGAGCAGCATTAGACAAAACCCCGTTTAAGCAACTCTTAACAGTAAGCTCCTGCGAAAACCTAAAGGAAGTGCATAAATATTCAGACATCAGACTCAGTGTAAAGCATCCCAGAAGAAAATTTAAATCTAGATTGCTGAGATGGTAGCATGGTTCTATTTTGTTGGTGTTTTTAGGGGGAAAATATCTCACAAGAAAGAGGAGAGGTAGGAAATAGGAGAAGAAAATGAAGGTGGAAATGTTAATTTTTAAAGAGAGATACAGCCTAATTTCCACCATCACTCACCTTGTCTGGAAGGCTTTCTCTGCTTTGCCATCCTCTTTGTTCCCATTGTACTTTTGTACCAAGCAAGGCACTGCTGTGCATTTGGCCATCCCATAACCATTTACTGCTTCAGAGGAACATAAGATGACCCTGCTCAGATAGCTTTACAGAAACTGCCCAAATAGCTTTACAGATAGCCACAGAAACAAGCAAGAACCCTAGAACTCCACCTCTCTATCTGTACAAGGTGGAGCAGAGGGGCACAGCCCACCCCAGCACTCACATAGGCACCACAGAGCACAACAGCATCTCTTGCCTCCAGCTGCATAGCAGAAGAACCCAGGTGAAGCTCAACATCTGCAGCAGACCCCACTTCTCAATACCCATAACAGTGTAAACGAGGATGTAAATAAACCATGCTCCCTTAAAGCAGGCTGGGTGCTGGGCCTCACACCAGGTCCCAATTCCTTCTCTTAAACAGAAGATGAAAGACCAAGCATGCATACAGAGACTTCTTTTGCACAGAACTATCAGACAAACATGTACAAGGCAACACTTCGATAAAAATATCAAATACAAAATTAGTTCTTAAAAAAACATTTTAAGAAGTTTGATATGTGCGCAGGATTAATTTTAAAAGCTCTTTTATATTCCAAAGGATCTATTGCTGGAGTTTGTAAGTCCAGGCTAAACTATTTCGATGTTAAGAGCAGCTTAATACTTTATTTATTCAACGAGAAACCTGGAGGAACTGTGCGAGTTCAACATCTGTGCTCTCAGTGAGGGGCCTGGTGATCTGATGACAATGTGTGTACCTATGAAAATTGTGCACTAACTTAAAGACTTAGAAGTCCATACGATGATTTCCAAATTTCTGATGACTTATCTTGAGCACAAATGGTTTGAGCAGTAGCAACCAGGGAAAATAATCAGGATCTCCACTCTAGACTTGCTGCAGTTCTTTGAGCCACCAGAAAGGTTGGAGGAATCTGCACAAGAGAGTGCTGCATGTCACCAAAGCCCATGATCGAAAGCAAAGAATTTCTCACTTTGGTTTTCACATTAAATTCATAGGATTTAAATGACTCCTGCCACATTCCTTGAAAACCAAGAAGTTGTGGAAAATTAAATGCAATGTTACGACCAACCTCAAAGTGGCAATGCCATCATCCTCCCTCAAACTCAGCAACCTGGACTGGGTGAAAACTGCCTGAAATATGAACCCTTTTCCCAACAGGTAGAGCTTTCCAGATCCAGATCCGGAACAAAAAGCAAGGTGTGGATAGGATGCAGTGCACCATTGTGTTGATGCTAATAAGCATCCAACTATGGTCTCAAGCTATAGTAGGGATGTTGTATGATGAGGTCTGTCTTTATCAACCCAGCCAAAAACCAGCTTGTTGACTAAGGACAGCCACTTTTGTCCTCAGATATGTTTCACTGCACTCTGCAGGGATCCAAATAGCTGATAGCTGCAGGTGAAGATGTTGTCCAGAAGTAGATTATGTTTGGGGCTGAAATTGCCCTTGTGTCAGAGGACACACTGAAAAAGGAGGGCTTTTTTTGTTGTTATTTGTCAAGGAACAGGTGACGAGAGTAAAGAAAATTGCTTAAAAAGACCTTTTCATGTCTGACTAGGATTTTTAAAAAACTAGGTATTACAGAAGGATTTTTGTAAGTATACCTCCATATGCTCCTTTAAGACTGCTGCACAACAAAGCACACAGTGCAGCCATCAATATGCTGCTTTTTCAGTTCTACTTGTGTTTTCCTCCACAAATGCTTTCTGGGTGATTTCACCCTTTGACTGCTCGTATACAGAGGATCAAGTAAACCAAGCTTGAAAGACTGAAATGGTCTCGTCAGGAAGCTCACAAAAGCAAGAAAGTAGCTGCCAGTTATAAAAACACCATCTACTCCATTGCTGCAATTTTACAGCAATGGAGCTTAAATTTCAAGAATTAGAACTAGATTTTGCAGTTACCTAAGCAAAGTGGCTCCTTCTGTCTAATCAACACTACATCCTGCTTCTAAAAGCTTCAGTGCACTGCTAGCAGAGTAACATCCCCACACCTCAGTGCTGTCTCTGAACAGCTTTCTTGAGGCTCTCAGCCTCAACACCCTTGGAGCCCTAGGTAGTACACAAAGCAACAACCCACAAGAACGCTGGAATAGTCAAAATCCTTTCAGAGGTGGCTTCAACATAGCCAAGGTCTTACAAATCAGTTGCCATCCTAGACCTAGCAGAGAACAACAATATTCCCAGAACAGCAAATGAAAAGCGATGTTGAGTATGGTATCTATCTGTAGCAAGAACTTATGATACCCCCAGACTTGCCTCATGGGGTTTGTTATCCTTACCTTCTCTAAGGAAGTCTAACTGCTGGGACCTTTAAATGCAAATCCATTCCTTGGACACTCTCCTGGCCGGATCACCTGTGCGTACAAGTCCATCCTCTGCTGCATGCTACAAACACAAGTTAAGACAGAAGCAATCAGAAGCCAAACTAGTGCAGTAGGGAGCTAGCAGCTAGCTGTGCTACTTCAACCTTTATTAAAGCTCTGGGCAGATAAAGTTCAGGCTATGTAGTTAGACATTTGTGATGTGTCTATCGCCATGGTATCAAGAGCCATTCAGCAATAGAATCTACACTGGGATAAGTAGCCTCCCTAACAGCTCAGCACATGGGTGCACACAATATCCTTTTCAAGGCAACTGTGCAGACTCCAGCAGCCACAACCAACTGGTCCTTGGCTTCAGACACAAACGCACCTCCTGCATCATTAGACCCAAGAAACTCTACAGGTCTCTAAGGGACAAGTTAACATATTTGCTACTAGGTGGGTCTATCACATACCATGATAATATTGAGAAGTGTCATAACTTCTACATATTATTGAAGACTGAATTAAAAGAAAGAAACAAAACCATGAAAAACCTTCATACTTTTTTGCTTAAGGCCACCTTGACTATTTTCTTATCTCCTTTGCTTGTCTTCGAGCACCTCCCATTTTCAGAAGTATTTCCACTTGGACTGAAATCACCTCTACTTTTGTTCTCCAAACCCAGGGCTCTAAAAACAGCATGGGAAAAGTCTCTGCTACGGACTGTTAGCCTGTCCTTCATTTGCTTACATCTGTGATAAATCCTTAGCTACTGACACTTGTGGATACTAGCTTTAGCCTAAAGGCTGCTTTCCCAAGAGGCTTTCTGAAGCAGGAAAGACAGGGGAGTAGAAAGGAGTCCTATACTGTCTTATCCTCTCCAGTTCTTCTGCACCTTCAGTAGGTACATCTTTAGGCAAATACGTTCTCGCTGCTTTCTGCCTTCCTTAGTTCCCAATGCTCACAAACTCCTTAGTCATCTTCAGTCTGTGCTGAAGTAGACAGCTCAGTCCCAGCAGATGACAACAAGCAGCTCCAGCACACAAGAGATGCTCCTGGACACAGCATGCATATGGTCATGGTTTCTCCTCAGATCAAGGTCTTCAAGAGGTATCACAAAGTAAACATAACTGAGGACTCGCACAAATTCTTCAGCAGTTAATAACTAACCACATCTAAGCAGGAGAGCTGGTTTTCCATACGAGCAGTTTACAATGCTCGTTTACTCCCACAGTATTGTGTTCCTGGGTACCTTCATCAACAATTCTTCACTGAGGGCTCCATTAGGTAGCAGAGATGGACTCATGCCAATAGGGGACATACACAGTCACCTACATCACTTTGGAGCTTTTTGTCAGAAAAACAGCCATGGGGAGTTAAGATTTTATGTAAGGATGCTACTCTCCAGCGTAAGTTTATTACAAAGCAATATCTGATGCTAATGGTTCCTTGTAAGCCTTTTCCATAGTATTATTAACTCTGCTAATTTCCAGTAAAATGCTATCATAGTCCATGTATATGTATATACAACTTCTCAAACACAAGATTCAGTGGTCACCTTATGGTATTAAAGGATTGAAAGTAAGTCTGCCCAACAGTGCTCAATCCAATGCTTTGGACTTCCCTGCCACAACATGCTGTACATGATCCAAAATTGTAGATGCTGTTGAACAGCAATGAGACAAACCTGTGTCAGATGCACCCATCCATTGCTGGGAAGGAAGCTCCAGGACATTGCTCTCCACCAGCTGCCTGCCAAATGCATCCAATGGAAGAACATTCCACAGCTGCTGGCAATGCTGACTTTGCACCAAGACTCTAGAGCACTTGCTAATTCACAACACCAGCTTGGAGACAAACAGCTTCTGTGACGGATTAGGCTAAAGGCAGTACCTGCACTGAGGTTCCAGTACAAGATAGCATCGGAACTGCTTTTTGCCATTTCAGCATTTCCTCAAAACTGAAGGGTGTCAACCTCCAGGAAGAAGAGCAGAGGAATACCTAGAATGGTGCTCACTCAAGGCAGAAAGGCAGCAGATAGAGGATGCTGTTAATAGCATCCAAGACCAGCAAGCAGCTGTTCTAAACTATCATGGTCTGATAATGATATGACAAGGGGGAATGGTTTTAAACAAGAAGAGGGGAGATTTAGATCAGATGTCATGGAAATTTTTCACTCAGAGGGCAATGAGGCACCAGTACAGCTTCCCAGAGCTATGGATGCCCCATCCCTGGAGGCACTCAAAGCCATGTTGGATGGGGCTCTGGGCAGCCTGAACTGGTGGGGGGCAGCCCTGCACATAGCAGGGTGCTGGAACTGGATGGTCTTTAATCTCCTTTGCAATCCAATTCTGTAATTCTTCAGTGAAACAAAGCCCAAAAGCAAGTACTGACATGTTTTATAAAGGGCCAGAGAAGATTTCTACAGCCATGCTTAATATCACTGTATTATGATACAGTGCAAGATCTCAACTCTTTTCACATCAATATAATTCCTGAAATCAAATATGATATGAAGCGTTTCCCAGTACAGCTTTTTTTCCATATGAGTTGATCTTTCTGCTTGGGTCTAATTGACAACCAGATTGGATTTTTTCCAAATCAATATTTCTGAGACTGTAATACTCTCCAAAGACTCTCGAAATAAAACACAATTAAGCTTTAGAAATCAGTTCTGGGTGCAAGAACAAGTTCTCACATGTTGATGCTGGCATTCAGACAGCATTTATTTGCCTCAAGGGATCCTGAACATTCATCACTAAAATGTTATGAAGAAACTTTGAGGATCACTGCCTCTCCTGTTTGATTTCCTATCTCTCCCCTCCCCGCCCTGGTGCATTTGCTTAATAGATAATGATATCCAGAAAGAAGCCCTGATTTATATTGAAAGTAGGTGAGAGCTGGGAGCAGTCAGTGTGTGTAACCAAGCAGATTTCCAGACCTCTGCCAACTATTTGGCAGGTCAGTTGATAGAAACATAGACGTGCTAGCACTATGTGCACTTAGGAGCAGGTACATGCATAGACACAATCTGCAGGTTTCAGTTCATTCCTTGTAGATTTCTCCCTGTTTTTCCTGCAGCTTTGTTCTCTGTAGCCCTGAAAAAGGGTTCAGATTGTTATGTATTAACTATTTTCTGCTCTGTGACAACAGATATTGAAGATATCCACACATCAGGCTACTGATTGACAGCTTACATTAATTTCCATGCTGTAGGCCAGGGCCTGTATTGCAGGTAAGTCTTACAACACAACCCTCACTGTGCTGCACAGAGAAACACTGCTAGATAAAGCTTGACAAAGACATGAAAAGAGAGTGGGCAGGAAAGAGCAACCTGTAGGACCTGTCTACTGGTGTTACACATTTTCGCCAACTTCAGTTTTAATGAAGTATGCAAGCAGCAAACAGAAAACCAAAAATTATAACAGATCATCCCAATATCCTACAACAAGGATTCCCCAACAGGGATTTTCAGCTACCTCTTGGGCTGGCACAGATCATGACTATCACACATGCATACAACAACTTGCAGCATAATACTTGTGGAACTCATTACTGGAAAACAGCCCCAAAGCAGGAGGAAACAAAACTTCAACGTACAGCTTTTTAAGAGATGATTCACATAGAGTTTGAGAGGGTGCAACTAGTCCGTTTTGTGGTGTCATTACCAGAGCTGGAAGTTTTAACCTGGCACTTTGTTCTCAAAAATCTAACAAGACACACTAAAAAGCAAAAGCATTCACATAACCACAATAATTCTTTTCTAAGGCTGAAATGTTTATGCATTTTTAAAGAAAGAAAGGCCTTATAACTTGACAAATACCAAAGTATGAGTGCTAAATCATGAGGTCATCTGTTAATCAAATAGAAACATTTAAATCCCTATGACTGTCCTTTAAACAGACAAATATCACATGCTGTTCTCACAGGCTTTTTTTTTTTTTAAAAAAAACCTTTTTTTTTTTTTTTTTTTGAAAAAACCTTTCAATACTAAGGAGTTGTATACCAAGACAAACACCTCCACCTCTAGAGACACCAAAAGCTCCTTAGGCACAGATGCGATCCCTGCACTTAAGCAGATAACCCGCTGCAGGCTCAACACACCTAACCAGCCTGCCATGTCCCATCCACGCACAGCAGCAGTGTGACAACAAGCAGCGATGGAACAGTGCCAGATGTGCTGGTTGCCACGAAACTACCACAGCTTGCCCTAAGCAGTGTTGGGAACCACAGCCCAATGCTCCAGTAGAAGGCTACTGCTGACATAGGACACCAAGCATAAGAACATTCTTCCAGTTACTTCAAGTTCAAAAGACTTCCTGAGACAAATATCATTTCTGTGTTCACCTACCCTTCAGTTTATTCCATTTGCTTGAACCCACACCAGTTTTCAGCCTCCAGAACATTTTTTGGCTATGAGTCTCACGAGCATACTACTCACTGAACATTAACTGCCTCACTCTTCAACTATTCTTTTTATTTTTAAGCAATAAACCGTGTTCCTACAATTAAGTATTTTGATGGCAACTTGAGAATTTAAAGGTTCTGCTTAGGTCAGATCAAAATGGCATCAGAACTGAGTAAATACAGTAAGACTTAAGCTTGTTTCAAAGCTATAGAGTTTATAGCTTCAACTTTCAATTTTCCGTATGGTAAGGTTTACACAGCACTTGCTAACAGTTGCCAAGTGATTCAGCCATTCATAAATTCCTACATACTAGCACACCTGTTTGTCCAGGATTAGGCAAAGGAAGAAACCCATCCCTCCTATGAACCCCTCAGAAACTTGGGAGTAGGTAGCAATAGAGACCACCAATTTGCTGTCAGAACATGCTGCTAGATAAAATTACAAACTGAACTGAGATATCAAAGATTGACAGAGCCAGAATAACTTGCTCTCCCTCCTTTTCATTAGTAGTTCACCAAAGCTATCTTACTAGCATAGAAAGCATCCATTTCTTTATGTTCTCATGTTTCACCGCTAAAGTTAAAGGAATATTAAGGATAGTCTGAGAGTTTCGGTAGTTTCCAATACATAGAAAAACCAAAACAATCCTTCCCCAACCCCAGCTCTGCTGATTACCATGTAGGGAAAGGAACTGGCTGTTATAAAGCCATCTGACCTTGCAAAACACAAGCTGTAGAACCTTTTGGCAGCAAGTCAGAGAAACTTCCCTTATTGCTATAAATATTCACTGGGTAGATTTATGAACCATTGTCTGATCATTAGGCACCAGCTCTGTATTGCCTTTCCACATACATGCATTTAAATGCACCGTTTACTACAGAAGATGCACCACTCTTTGCTGCTGCACGTGTTTAACTTCTTTTGAATTAAACTTCAGAACCAGAAAAATCCATTTACAAGTCCCAATTGCTACGTGAAAGGGAGCTGATTACTTACTGCACCTTTTATAAAGCATGAGAATGTGCATCAAAAAAAAAAAAAAAAAGAATTTATTTATCTAGCAAGATACTGGCTACAAGGGATCACTGCTACTGCTAGAGTCACACACAAGTTGTCTGTATATCAAATATTTACTCTGGACAGAAAAAATGATTTCCAGATCACAAACAGATGTATGAAATGAAAAGCATCCAAGTTCGCTCCAGAAATCTTTTCATTTGAGAGAATAATAAAAAAAGAGACAGGTACTTATAATCTTCATAAGAATTACTATATAGTTTCCAAGGAATTTTATAGCACCATCAGTTAGTTAAGGATATAATAAGGATATTTTCACTTGGGATTGATCAGGCTGTAACCAACATAACCAACAGCCCAAGCAGCCAGCAGTAGGACTCATAGGGACCCTACTCAGTGTGAGGTCTCTGTAGGGCTTGATGCTAAGTCTGTAGTAGCCATTCTATAGTCACCATAAGAAACACAATATGCTAAAGTCACACCAAGCTACTGTTTGACATACAGAGCTATTATATTGAGAAACATGTTTTATATTGCCAGTGCAAGTTTTGGAATTTTATTTTTCTTGATCTTACATTAAAGAGGCTGAGTTCGGTAACAAGTCATAACCATAGGACAGAACAGTCAAGAAGGCATTATAAAAATAATGCATAGGTGCAGAAAACACTTCAATGAAAAAAACAAGCAGTCCACAGACAATCTGGTTTAGCTTAAAGTAGTAAGAAAACTTTGTTTATCTTACAGGTGCTACAAAGCCTGCACTGGTCAACAACTTCGTAAGTAATTATTTGGACCCTCTCTTCCAGAGATAAGAAAACTCTTCTCAGAACCTGATAGAAAACTCTGTGTTCTTTATCAGGTTCTCTGACAGATGAGGAGTGTTTTATGGCTTATGGGAACATGGCTCTTTTCAGGGCCTCATGACTGCAGAGAATAAGCGTCACCAAGAGTCTCCGTTCTGCAGAAAGCATTAACATCTCCAGAAGAGCCAAAAGCCCTTTGTGTGAGGTGTTCATGAGGTCAGGAATGTATGCTTCAAGGCACATATGCCTCACATACGCATTCAATACACATATACTTCAAAGCAATACTTTCATCAATAAGTAAACAAGAGAATTTTCACAATGAAGGTCAATTGTACTTTATTACAAAAACAAAGAGGCAGCAAAAGTTATAAGGGCAGATCCCTATCCACCCCTTCTGAAAAGGGGCCAAGGGTTTCTTTACGGACACGAGAAGATATAGTGCACACATCAGCTCCCACAGAGGGCATAACAACGCAAACAAATTGAAGAGGCACGTCAAAAAAATTCCCACTGTAACCACGCGACTTATGTTTTAAAAATACTCTAAATACTCTAAAACTTGGGAAATCCCTAGGTATCCTGAAGTTGTTTCCCTGAACAAGGTACTGAACAAGCTGATCTTGGTAGCACAAGCCTTTAGCATGACAGACAGTGTTCTTTCGAGAGAGTTTTGTGCATTTGCTGCAAAAAGACTTCTTTGTTCCTGTTTGATTCCTCCTCTGCTTTACCTGGGGTAGTACGCCGTGTAGTTCATGAAGAGCTGAGCCCCAGCAGGGTAGTATGCTGTGGAGGGCTGGAACGTCCGCGGGTTCAGGAGTACAGATGGCTGATATAGAGCTGCTTCTGTTGGCACGACTGCAGAAGGAGCCGGAAAGGAGTAAGAAGGGGGTGAAAGGCCTAAAGCAGACAAACGGAGAACAGATTAAGACCTTTCATATTCCAGCATACGTATGACCTTCATTACTGAGCAACTCTGCACAAAGTGAAGAGCTTTCACAAGTTCCTCATTTTCCTGCTCATCGCAGAAAATAAATCTGGGGCGCTGACTCCAAGATCAAGGTATGTACTTCCAACCCCTTGTCAAAAGCAAAGTAAGACACAAAAAAAGCTATCTCTTGTTCTGGGAGTTGAGTTTCTTTGTGAGAAGGAAAGCAGTTTTCCTTGTTTAGGCTCAGATTTTAGCATAGCTTCCAGCCAAGTGAGACAATTCTCCACTGTAAGCAAACTGCAATGCCTGAAATCTGCCTAACACTCGCACTGCAGGGGACATCATTTCATCCTGATACTCCCTATCCCCCAAACAGCTCTGTCTTCAACAACAGTAGAGTGGGAAAAGCCATGGATTTGCAGTTTCTCACATTAATATTCAGTTTAAAAATAAAAACGAATAGAAAAAGCAACTGCGCTTTGTTTCAGCAAGACCTCACAGTCAAGAGTTCACTCTTCCCTTTTCCTCCCCTCTTTCCAGTACCATAACAGTGAAATTTGGACAGCCCTGAATAACAGACAGAAGCTTATTTTAAAGCAACAGTCAGCATCTCACTGCACTGTGGGATGGGGAAAAAAACAAAAAGAAAAAATAATCAATTGCATTGTAATTAGAAATGGGAGCACTGCCATCTAAGAGCTCCCAAACTTTGGGATTCCTGCTCAATAAGCCATTCCGTGAGCTTTCAGGAGAAGCTTCCAATTCCTGTCCAGAATATCTATCACATATAGGGCTGCATACTGCAGATCCCTTCTTGGATACTCACATTATAAGAAATGCTAGTAGACTGTAAATCTCAACTCCTAAGGATTAGCTGAAGGTCTATTCACAGCTCAAGACAAATCACACCCAGGAAGTTCACTATCAGATTAGCTGCTCTGACTATCCAGGGTTAGAGGATGTTTCTTAGAAAAGGCACAATATCAGTAATACTTCTGCATAGAAGGAGAGAAAGAGAAAGCTTCTACCCAACTGCCTTGTCATTTAGTATCTTGGAAGCAACGTATTATTTCTCCTATAGGCTCAGATTTACATAGTGTACGTAAGCCCTTAAATTCTAAAAGCACTGTCCCCAAATGGACATCCTAATAGATCTGGAGAGCATAACTATACATGAAATACAATTCCTGCAATTATCTGAGGCCAAAAATAAGTGTGTTTATCTTCCACAGAGGCAACTCAGTTCTGTACAAACAACAGGAAGATAAGGAAGAGTTCAGCCAGTGGTGGCATGTAGAACACAAGGTTAAGTCCAAAGGAGAGCCTTACCAATGGTTTCATAAATTCAGTTTTGAATTCAGTTTTGAGAGCAAAAGGGCAGGGACTTACTTAACATGTTCACCATGATAAAAAGTGTAAATACAAATCAGCTTAAATGGGAAACTTCTTTAAGCCCCTAGGCAGTCAAATTATTTTTTGCATTGGCATGGCTCACCCTGGCCAGCTTAAGTTTGAAGACGGGGAAGGCAAGTCCGTTACGGGAAAGCAAGAAGAATTTCAAAGTATTTCTTCAATCATAGTAATCCACAACCAAAGGGAAAAGTGAATGCAAGCTGCTGCTGATTTTAGATGGAATGGCCTTATTTTACCACCCCCATCTGAGACTCTTTTCCAAGAAAGAGAATCAGAATCAAGGAAGCAGCTCCAACACCTACCCACACACAGCATACAGTATTGGCAAGACGCATGCAAAACTTACATGGTAACTTACATGGTGGTGGGGACAAGCCATTTCGATTTAAAGTGCCCCCCATTAACACAAAGTTCATCTCCTCAGCAGAACATTGAAAGACTTCAACATATCTGTCCTTCATAGTCTTCTTATGACACTTCTGTGCAGCCAGAAAAGCTCGGTCTGCAGATTTCATCTGAATAAAAGCATCTCCCGATGGACGTCCCTGCAAACAAGACAGATGAGGATGTGTTTCTGGATCTCCCATGAATTAGCAACATAATGATTTCTGCTGTTATAAAAACAAAACAAAACAGCAAAGCAGTCTTGAATCATGAAAATATTTATCTCCAAAGTTAAGCACAGTCAGTCATCCCTACAGACTCCTACACTTCCCAGTATGTTTAAAGTCTCCCTGAGGTTCCCCACTATTGCTGGGGAATCCTGATCTGCCCACTGCATCTCATGTTCCTTCTTCCCTCTTATGCTAACTTAACGGAGAAAACAAATACAGTCGAGGGCTAAGCTATATTTTTTCTTTTAAGGCCAGTACGTGCCAGAATATTTTGCAATGGCACCAGCCTACATCTAATCAAGTAGATAGGCTTGGTGTGAGCTTACAGGGAAGAAAAAGTACATCTTTACAAACAGCTGTGAGTGGGATAAACAAGGAGTCATTTGAGCCACATACAGCTGCCAACTCTAAGTAGCCAAAACCAGAAGTAAAGCTCTGAAGTCAGTTCTGAATTCAGTTCTGGGCCAGTTCTCATTTCTGAGGGAAGAACAACCACATCACCATCCTTTACAGACTTGGTTCTGAATCTCTCATCAGAAATAGGGATAGCAGGAGTAGGGAGAATATTCCAAATGATAATAATCACATACTTGGGTACCTGGAGAGAAAAATAAAAGTACCTGACAGCTTTGGGCAGGAGTGGCTGGTACCCACAGGTCTACGCACACACTTATTTCTTCCCCCAATTTCTTTAATCATTTCTGACAAGGGCTGATACTTGCAGAAACCACTACTTGTGCTTTAGCATCTGCATCATATTATTTATTCCCCAAGCCCTGCTCATTCCTTATCTTATTCAGTCTTGGCTAGCCTACGGCTAGATCAAGTTCTCAAAGACAAAGAAATCTCAAGATAGAGAGGTGCTGCAGTAACTGTAGCCCCCACTCTCTTCCCAAGCTTCTCAAATGTAGAAGCTTCACCCCAGGAAAAGGAACCATTTTGCATTTTCAATGCAGTCCTGGTGTTGCTCAGAGCAATTTTAGAACCATTTTTTACAAAGCAGTAATCAGTACAACCACTCAGGGCATCCCTGTGGAGTATGTATGAGAAGCTGCCTTCTCCTTCCTTAAGACAAAAAGCTACACAGATGGACTAGGAGATAACATTTACCTTTGTCTGAAAGGTTTTGGTAGAAACTGCCTCCAGCAAACAATGGCAAATATCTGACTATCTGCCCTGACTATTCTGGGCAGTGAGCTGTTAATCTGTGTACTTGGCCTTGGCCGTTTAAGGGAAGTAACACTGCAGTTCAGGAGATCTGAAGGTTTAGCTAAGCTTAAGGACTCGTGACATAGGAAATCCTTACACCTCTAGAAGACCACAGTCACTGATGTACTCACGCATTACCTGAGGCACACTGTTCACCAGAGCAGGGCAAATCGCTCTTTTGTAAGCTAATATTGATCACAGTTTTGTTTTGAAGACATACCTTTCACAAGGGGAATTAAGCAGCCTGTTGAGCAGGGCTCTTCAGTTCAAGCCTCCAACAGTGCAGGATGACAGTTAGTGCTATGGGAACACCTTCCTCTCCCCTCAAAACAAAGAACTGTGGCTTAGCTTTTAGACATATGGGTCTCACTGACAGAAACCACTCTGCAGAAAATGCAGCAGCTGTTAAAGTGTGGTTCAAATACACTCATCTATGGTCAGTACACTTTTAGAAGGAAAGCAATTAATGCCATTAGTGACAGTCCCAAAAGCGCTCCCCTCCTGGTAATGATACTGAGCCTGTTCACATATCCAACCAGCAATAAGGCACCTACCAACCTGGTGATTTAGCACCATGTGAACGCCATGGGTCCGAATGTCTGTAGAGAACTCTCCCAAGAAATCCAGGATGTCCTCAATAGTGGCAGCATAGGGAAGTCCACGCAAACGTATGCAGTCTCTGACATTAGTTGGAGGCACAAACTGCTGAGGTAATACTGGAAGAATAGGAGGTGTTGGGAGAGGAATGAGAGGTGTGGAAGAGTACCTATTCAGCACCTGTGCGAGACAGAAACATAGGTTACAGAAAGCCTTACTTACTCTTCAACTCCCAGGAACTGAATGCAACATCCATCTCATCTATTTTCAGTCTGGAAAGTTTTTTTTAAGAAGATGCGAGACATTTTCTGGGCTTAAATCACAGCAGTAATGCTTAGAATTTAAATACTTCGCAATAGATCTTGGGAAGAGTCAGCTTATTCTGAAGAATTTACTTGAACAGTAACACAAGTCTCAAAAGATTCCTTAGAACACAAAACCTGCATTTCCACAGCATTTTCGGGGGGAAAGATATCTGAAAATATTTTACTAGGTATATGGGGCCACTTCTACCCAGTTTCTCCTCTGCTAAGCATTAGAATAATCTCCAAACTAGAAACCTATTTTACTACCAAGCAGTCTTATGTTACTTAGTCACAGTATTTGAAATAAGAAAGTCATGCTCTGAGATTTCTTGGGTAACCTGATCAGTAGAAACCCCATGCCATCACTTCCCTTTAGCTATCTCTGAATAACAGAAATATTCACTTATATTCACATGCGTATCAGATGGCTTTGCTAATGCTAAACAAAGGAATTAGGGAAGCACTCAAGGAAAACACAACAACAAGAGCAAGCACTGCAGCTAATGTTTACTGGTGTCATCCTCCAAGCAAGGCACCGAAATCTCTGCATACTTGGGGGTGAAGAGCAACGTCATTGCTTGGTTACAATGAAACGACTACTGCTAGGCTACAGCTTACATCCAGAGCAGAAATTAGTGACATGAGCCTAAGTTTTTTGAAACATATAATCCTCTTAGCCCTACTTCATCCCCTAGATAGAATAATCAATGGTCCATCAAGCTATGTGAATGGCAGGAGGCACTTCTCAAGCCCAGTTCCATACAGCTCGGCCACCCTCTGCCAGGTAGTCAGTGCTGTCTAGAGATTGTTGACAGTTGACATTAAAGACAGTTTGAAAGGTTCTTGACCTGTTGCACTTTAGAAGACAACGACATCAAAATGCTGTTTTTTCTGTGCTGGTGACTTTCAGATTAAGAGTTGTTGCTAGCACTCCTTTTGAACAGAGCTAAGTGAACTCAGCAGAAAATTTGTAGGTTTAGTGTTTTACATTACAGATACTGTAACTACATATAACTACTGCTTGCAAGTATATCAGAAGCCAAATGGGAGAAGTGTAGGATTTTTATTATATGTATATACGTACACATACATATGTATATTATATGTATGTATGAGTGGCCACATGTGCTCAGACACTTGTCAAGAGTAAGAAAAGAGGGAAAAAAAAAAAAACCTTTCAGTTGTGGCCAGGCAGTGTTTGCTGACACTACTTTGTGGCAGTGTAGGAGTATGGAATACAAGGTGTCTAAAGCTTTTCACTCACCTGCTGAACTTCTGCTGCAGTGCTCCTGAAGAGTTCGATGTACCTTTTTCCAAGCAAGTCCTTATGCTTTTTCAGTGCATTCTGTGCATATTCCTCACAAGCAAACAACACAAAGGCATCCCCTGTTGGCCTGCTGTCAGGGTATGTGACGAATAGGACTCCCTCCTTCCCTCCTGTTACAGGACAGTGCTGGCCAAAGAATGCCAGTACTTCTTCTGTTGTCACGTTGAAAGGAAGACCTCGCATCCTGACTATCACTTGGTTTTCTTTTGATAAGAACTGTGCAACCTCATTGGAAGTGCCTTTAGCAAGGAAAGAAAAAACCAGACAGAAGCACTTAAGTCTTGGCAGCAGTATAGAACCCTGAGTAAGTCTGGCATAGCTACCTCCTCTTCCCTGCAGAATCCCTTCTGCATGAATGGTGCCTCCATGCACCTCACCTTATTAACTAAGGCCTCCGGCACACACTGAAGCCACAATAAGCAGCAATCAAGTACTCAGACTATTGTGCTGGGAAAGAAGGCTGGAAGGGCATGCTGAAGACAGCTTATGAATTTCATCCTATCCTGAGAAAATAGTCAAACTCTGCAATTCTGCTTTCACTATCTTCAAGAAGACCACTGATGTTCACAGTTAAAAGACTACACTGCCCTATCCAAAGCTACCTGCTAACCAACTCTGCACCTTCGTACAGTCCTTTCAGTTACTTCTAATTCATTTTGTAAAGCTGATGGAATGAACTTGTGCCAGACATGTTTTTCCAACATTAGTATTTTCCAACTATTTTTCCAACATTAGTATACAATGTCTTTACTTTGACAGGTGTAACTGTTACCAAACCTATCAAATAGACATCTATTCAACAACTTAATAATCTCTCACTCCAAAACCTTCACCTTAGGTATTCAGTTAGTCATTTATAAACCTGTTATGAACCAAAAAGCTCTTAAGGCAGTACTGCTGATACATAACAGCTTATCCAGTCTTAAAATCTCTATGATTGTAATCATAAAAGGGAGAGGGTAGTCTGCCCCATCTTCCCCCCCCATTTTCCCTTTATTTAAAAACAAAGATTTGATTTGAAGAAAATCAGTTCCCTAAAGCCCTTGTTATTTACACTGCGATATCTGTTTGCTTTTATATTCAAGTCTCCTAAGCAACAGCAGTCATATTGTTTTGAAAAACTACTCAGGTTTTCATTTTCAGCAGCCAAAAGCATTTAGGTTATCTTCCTAAATGATGGGACCTAGCAAACAAAGCTCATTAGTATCACTTTGACAGATCAAATCCTTATGTGACAGGGTGCTTGAAAATGGCAAGGGTGTGGAACAGAAAAAGGTGGGCAGGTAAGACATGGAACAGCTTGGACTGCTAACAGATGCACACCAGCCACCTAGCTGGTGGTCAGGGAAAGGAAGTGAAAGACTACATCCAAGAAGAGCAATTTAAAACTCCAAGTTAATAGCAGATGCTGATAGAACAAACCCCCTTCTTCTCAATCCCTTACACATTACCTCCTGCGATTTTCAGGAAATCTTCACCTGTTGCCTTGTATACCTAATGAAAGGGAAGAGAGAACATGTGATTGACATGCAGTTTGCACTCCATCTGAGAGGAGGACCTCAGAGCAAGCGGTACACACCTCAATGTATCTGTTTCCCATGTGATGCTTGTGTCTTTGCAGCGCTAGATCTCTATGCTCTTCATTTACAAACCTGACGAGAGCCTCCCCGTTCCTTCTACCTTGGGCATTGAGGCAGAGTGCAGCACCTCCCCTGCAAGATTAAAATTACAGACATAACCACTCCATGGCTAGGGCAAGTGAAGCACTACAAAGGTAGAGGTAGGTTCTTTGCTACTAACTTGGCAATATTTAAGCCTTTGAAGAACTTTGCTATGTCTTGGTCAGATGACTGCCAGGGGAGCCCTCTTGCTCGGATGACAGCGTTGTCGTCCACAAGCTCCATCTTGCTGCTGCAGGCACCAAGAGAAGAAACAATGCAGAGAGGGCTCCAGCAGGTCTCAAACACAAACCACTGCCTGTCACCTGCACTCCAGTAACAAGCTTCTGTCTGCTGGGTGAGGGGAAGGGACTGCCAGGGCTGAAATCCATAACCAAGTCACAGCACGTGGCAGCGTTGCCCTTTTCCCAAGCTGCCCCTTTCCCAGCTGCCCTCTGCACTGCACCACATCTGCTCCTTGAACTCTCCTTTCCTTGAGCATTCTCCCGCTTCACTCTCCCCTCATGAGATACTGATGTGTGGTACTTCCCTGTTAGTCAAATAAGGTAAGTACAACGAAGTTAGAAGTTAAATACTTGCTCTGCTAATCCTGGCTAACTGGAGATTGAAGCAGAGCAGTTAGACATAAGTAAAGCCAGCGTCTGATGGTGTGCACTCTTAGTCAGTGTGGATTTGTTTGGGATTTTACTTAGGCTGAGGACTCCTCCCTGAGGGGTTTTGCCTTAACATTTTGTGTTTGGGCCACTGCTGCACTACTGGAGGCTAACATAGCCACAGGCAAGGCTGGCTGCTTAGCATGGGAATAGCTCAGCCACAGAGAGCCAGATTTAATTGGTCATTACCACAGCCTCTTTTGTTCTCTTGCATGTTCAAAATGCCATGTAGAACAAAACGCTGACAGCTACCCATGGCCGCCTTTCTGGCAATTGGAGGGACAGGCTGCCACAAGGAGTCCATGGGACTGATTGAGCAGCTGCCTGCCCTCATGTGAGAGAGAGAGCTGTGCTCTGCAGCAGGAGGGCCATGTTTCAGATTGTATTCTAAGTTCTCAGGTGACTTTTCCTGTAGATGTCTGTCCAGAACTGCTGCTTACATCACCCAATCCTCTATCTCAATAGTTCGCCTCAAGAAAAAATAAGCAATTAGTACATGTGTTTGTGCAAATAAGATAGTGTTACCTTTTTCAATGACAGGCCTTTGCAGTTCAAACAAAGTCTATATTTCATTTATCATCACAAATCAGACAGGAATCTTTTACCTCATGACCGGATTTCATTAGCAAAAGGGGAAAGAGAAACTTAGAACAACACTAAAACTAAAAGCTGCCTGAACTGATCTCATTGGACAATCCCTGCCAGTATTGCTGCATTCTGCTCTTGCCTCCTTTGGTTCAGAATGCCAGTATCATCAATTATGATGACAGTTCATTAATCTGGAAGGGGTAAGCAAGCATTCACACAAGAAGGGAATCGGAATAAGGTCAGTTTAAGATTGGTCTCCTGTGATAGTGCAGAGCAAGTAGCCAGCAACACTGGAAAAACCCCTACACAAGAAAAAGTCATCATGATGTGTATTCAGCAACTGTGAAGCAAACTGCAGGAAAAGTGCAATAGTTAATACTAATAGGGTTACTTCTGCAAAAATGCTCACGTTCTTTGTTAACAGCACAGCACACTCAACATCCATTATATGTACTTATCAGAACCCACAACTCCCAGCACCTAACAAGCAACAGTTTCCTGCCAGGCTTCAGTCCTACATCTAATGCAGTTCTCTATATGCTTTCCCACTTAAAACCTCTAATTTATTCTCACAGCAGTGACAGGATAAACAAAAAATAACAGCAACAGCTATTTGCAAATAATTCATACAGAAAAGTACAGCTCATATATGCAGTGTCTGGCTTTTTTTTTTTTTTTCTTTTCTTTTTTTTTTTTTTTTTTTTTTTAAGGAGAGAAAAGGGAAAAGATACATACCAAGGCCCACTTTCAAATTTGTAGTTCACTCTTTCTGGATCTGAAAACCTGTGATCTAGGAAACATGGTACAAGTTATTTCCTTCTGCCACAGCAGGCAAAACACACAGGCGAAAATAAATAAGCAACAGAAAAGACCAGTTCCTCACACTTACTATACGGTTCAGATATCAGTGTTAAAATAATGTTCCCCATATCTTCAACTCGAGAGGCTCCATAGGCGAGTGCTGAACTGTTCTTGTCAAGATTTAAATCTTTGTGTGGAGTTAAGGTAATCATCACCAGATAGATTTCAAATTGGTCTCCTACTAAAGCAGCAAGCTTTAACATTATCTTAATGGTAAGTCGCATCTCAGGGGAAGATTTAATCCATTTTCCTGCTGGGATGCATCAGCTGCACTGGGTTTGCTGCTGCTTTGGCCTCTAACTACTGCCACCTGCGGGAGTGTGAGGTCAATCCAGAAAGTGTCTGGGGACATGAGGCCTCACAATAAAGACATACATATTTAATATAATCATGCATTTTGTATATCTGAAAGACAGAAACACTCTGGCATGCAGAAAAGACTGGAGTCCTGTCCTCTTTAATTAAGATCATCTTTAATCTCCAGGGGAAGATCCAGGGATGGAGGAAAAACAAACCATCAACTAGAAACTGAAAGAGACGTAACACATGTTTTCTAAACGATTGAGTACTTTACCTAAAGTAGAGTAAATATGTTACCACTTGGATAAAATTTACTAGCAGCACCTTGTCTAAATCTCACCTATTTGAAGCTCCAGCCTGAGCTTTGTCCTGTTAAGCAGTGTTAGGAAAAAAATAAAATAAAAAAAATTAGCTTAGAGTGCATCATTACGGATAACCAAGAGACAAACCAGAGTCTGACAACCCATAGTGCCTTCCACAACCCTTCAGATCAGAAAAAAAAGAAAAAAAAAAACAGCAAGGATAAACTCCCTGCTAATAAGGAGCAGGAAGAACTCTATCTTGGGCTGTAGATTGACCAGATACAAATCCACATTCATTGAGAGAGTCAGATTTAAGTTGTATATACCAAGCGTTTATTATAGTCTCTTTCCTCCTTCTAGCTGTGTTTGATCGCTGTAACAGAACAGGAAGATTACTTGCAACTTGCAATTTATCAAGTCAACTTCTTTTAAAAGGACTTTTTCCTATCCCCATCTCTTTCTTTGAAGAGAAAATGGTTTAAAAAAAAAAAAAAAATCAAAACAAGAAGTAAACTATAAAGTAGTTTGAAGCAGTATTTGCTTTTTCTGTCTTATCACTTCAGTTTAAGATAGTATAGAAGGAAAAAAGGTTTTTTAAACAATAATCTCTATCCTGGCACAGCAGAACAGTAAAGCAAGGCATTCAAAACAGATGAATGCAACAGTTACTTGCTCACATTTCCATAAATGTACAAAAGATTCATTTCAAATGCATAGTCTGTATTTTGATGCTCAGAAGTTGCTTTTCCATCCCAGATGGCAAAGCTCCTCTTAAAGAAAAGGTTTTCTCCACCTAAAATTGATCATATTTTGAGTTGGCAGATGTCAACACGAAAGACAAGGAGTAGAGGAACAATTCCTGTTAGAAACAGGCAATGCACACTCACTTTATTCTATCATCTGAACACAAGTCATGGGGAACAAGCATACAAATGTCACTGGGGAACAAAGTCTTCCCATCATTTGTGACATGACAGCAAGTCATTCCTACAAAAAACTTTTTTTTTTTTTTTAAATCTCAGGACTAAAACAACTTTAAAAAGTAATTAACTGAGTCAACAAATCTCTTCCACAACAAAGACAGGAAAAATGCAGCACTGAAGCTCTGAGACTAATTTGATTTTGAGACTTTGCTGGGCTTTCAGTCTGAATTGGAGTGTGGAATGTGAGAGGACAGCGCTTAATCAGCTTCAGATGCACTTGTAAGAAGACTCACCATAGTTTAAAATTAAGAGGCAAAAATCAAACCACGTAAATTAAGCCAGTGATCCATCTCTGCAGCTTGCACTGCCAAACAGTCTGCAAGCCATTGCCATCATCTGCCCTCCAAATATCATTGGAGTAAACTGGTCAAAAGCATTACATGGTCCTCTTAAAACCAAACAAAAAACCTGAACAAGCCACATGAAACAACCCCAAAACATAATTTAAGAGACAGTCACCAGTGTTTATGACAACACAGTACTTCTTCATTGCTCTTTCTTCCTAAGCCATCCACCAAAGCTTGTCTTTCTCTACCAGCACCTGGGAAAGGAAGGGTGGGGGGCTGAAAAGAAAACAAACATTGCACACATTGCCTTCATCACTGGCACAGAGGCTGTCTAGTCAGCAGCACGCAGATGTTTCTGTGCAGCTCAGGTAGCAAAGCAGAGAAGCACTTCTCCTTCACCAGACATCACACCTATGCAGAGCTTCTCCCAGCTAATGAGACATTGCTGGAAATGCAGATATTGGAAACCTGGTCTTGCCTATTTCTTTGTGATTAGTGGAGTTACTTTTTTTTTTTTTTTAAATATTTCCTATAGTAAAGAACTCAGGTAGTAGTTTCAGCAGGTATTAGGAGAAAGATACATGTACTCACAGTGGCTTTGCTACCAGACCATGCTGTCACAACTGAAGACACATTAACAATTGCCACTTGCAAAGCCAGATATTTCTGCAAGTGATGAGCTCTAGAAGATGGGACAGGGCACTGAAGCAAGGCCACAACACAAGGAAAAACAAACACTCCCACCCCACTTACATTTTCTTCAGAAGACATCGATCAACAGGAGATAGTTCCTAGAAATACCCTGGTGCCAACAAAACTGGTGCCAGGTGTTCAGACATAGGGAGTCAGTTGAGCAAACAGCCCTCCAGATTAATATAAGCACAGCAGGAGGGGAGGAAGAAATTTATCACCATTAGTAGGAATGAGAGAAGAGACATCACTCCCACCTTTGCCTCTGATTAGCTGGAAGCAAGGCTTTTAGACAAGGCTGAAGAAGAAAATTGTTCATGTTCTGCACATGTCATTATTGCACTCCTTCACAACTTCAACTAAGTGAAAACCTGAATTCTGATGAACATGCCTATCCATAGACAGATGCACCTCTACCAACCAAGTAGCTGGAAATAAAGGATGCTTAGGAAAAAAAGCTGCTAATGGAACAGTCAAAAAAAAAAAAAAAAAATCAACACTCGCTTTCTGAAGATACAGGAGCCCCCATGTTTGTTTGTGTACACTGATGCCTTAAAGCTTGAAAGCTTGTCCATCCAAGGAAAATGGGGTGGGGGGGGAAGATAAAGTTGATGTTCGCAGATAAATTTACATTTAAAGCAAAGCAAGAATGAAGTTGGCTGTCTAAAGCTACTAGAATGCATACTCTGATACTGCATATAAGCAAAGTAGGGTGCAAAAGGTGCACTGAAACAATAGAAAACAAGGCTTTTCCTAACCTTGTTGCACAGCAGCAGTGCCATGAGCAACATACAGCACACTGAGGGGTGGTACACCTCACATCAGCTTGTAAACGGGGGAGACACTTCTAAATTGCTCCCTGATTCTTCACTGCTGTTCATCCACTGTCAGTGTCCTCCAAGCCCTTCTCCTCCACTTCTCAGGGTCTCAACTCCCTTCTTAACCACAGCAAGAGTGAAGTTGAATACTCAATTAGCTCAGAGGATACAAGATGAACTACATATACTTTTATGCTCTGCACTGATTCTGCTTCTCCCTCTTTCTGCTATTTTAGGTCTCTACTGACAGAATGCTACCTTAATTCAAGTAATATCTATAAATAGACATTATCTGATGCTACCTAGTTTCTGGGTACTACCACAGGATATACAAATAGCAGTGCACAAGATTCTTGGGTAATATTCATTAATGGGGCTTTGCTAGCTAGTGTTAAGTACTGGTGGTTATAACTGCGCTCTGCGTACTGGTTGTCAAGACATCCAGGTCATAAAACAAGTTTCAGTATTGTAGTATCCAGATCTTATCCATAGCATTAAACAGACTGTTCTGAAGTACGCCTGTGTTTCTACTGACAACACCCACCAGTACTCTTAGCAAGGAGTTACCTCCACAAAACCCAGCTGAGAAGCGAATGGAGCAAACCATACAGTGGAGGAAGCAATAGTTATTTGCCTTTTAATGACTTCTGCACGCCCAATCTTGAGGCAAAGGATGAGTCTTCTGCAGACTGCATTCTGAATAGTCATGCAAGCTTTGTTCACTCCACCCTAAAGGCACTCACAGCAGTGAGAACTGGCTTAGCAAGCTTTGCAAATCAAGAGGTGCAGCAAGTTTGGGAGGATGCAAGAAGAACAACCCTGCTTCTTTGGTACACTGACATGTTTAAAGAGATTTCAACAGAACAGAGTTCCTCTCCTTGCCAGAACAGGATCATTTCTTCCAAGTTTTTTGTTACTCAAAATTTCTCATCATTGTCCTGCTGTCTCTATAATGCTGACTTATGTAATGCTGACTAAAGGAAGTCTGCCACAATCCCATCTCCTGCACCAGGAAACAGCTTGGAGACTGTAAATTAAGAAGTAGTGGCATAGGTAACAGTTAGAACTAGTTTCAGTTCTTCCTTAGCCCCTCAAATACAATGGCATTTGAAGTACTTCCTTGTCCTGCATTAAGAGAAATCAGGGGCTGTTTGCAGAAGGATTTCATCATTTCTTTGGGGGCTGAACGCATGATGCAAAGCTTTCACCCAAGCTCTTACATCCAGAAAGATGTAGTTACTATACACGATTTCAAGTAGTTCACTGAAGGAATAAGGCCTAGAAGTTCTTTCTAAAAGAAAAGTCACTTAGCCAGATACTTAGTTTAACATTTTTCTTTTCAAGATCACTCAAAGAAGGCAAGCATTAAGTATACAGTCAAGCACCAGCTGTCCAGTGCTTTACAGCCTGGAATATGCTTCCTGAATGACAGCAGCAGAAGATAATATCCTTTGACTGCTGGGAGCTGTGGAGGACACACTCCATCAGCCTTTAACTTGTTTAGCCAAATGCTACCAGCCAAAATACAAGCATCTGAAAGGCTCCTCCAGGTTTAACCAACTGTACATCAATAGCCAGCTTTCCCATAACTCTTTCATATCACTCAAGCTTCCTGTCATTGAGCACAACCGTGTTACATCTGGGTCAGCAGATTTAAGCACATTAAGGGATTTGCCCAAACACATTCTACTCCTGCTCCCACCAGTCTGGGAATGCAGTCTTCTGCAGCCTTTGGTCGCACTCAAGCAAAACCTTTGCCCACGGAGCGCTAACAAACCTGGCCCACCGCAGACTGCATGCTACAAAGGAATCTCAGAGGATTCCCATCATGCAGCCCCATTAACTATGGGGCAGGAGAGCTACGCTTGCTTCCTGGAAGAGTAACAAGAGATGGATCAGGTTCTGCGTACTAGCCTGAAGCTTCAACTCACTCCATTGTATTTTAGTTCATCCATCCTCCCTTCTTTACCACCTCCCCAGCACTTCAAGTTCTGATTTAAGTTCCTTTCCAGTTACACTTGTCTCTGTTACATAGCAGTCTCAGAAAGAGAAGCTGTCTCACTTGAAGAAAACACCATATACAAAGTTGTTGGAACCGATCCTCAGACTTAAACATCTATTTCAACAAAAACTTTATCGCAGGCATTACATACATTCTCTCCAAGTGCAATTAACTTAATCTCCTCAGTGTCAGGAGGTGTGTAAGTTGGGACATTCCAGCAAGGCAAAGGAAAATTATCATATTGAGCAATAAAAGGAAAACGAGCAAACCTTACTTTTTCCTTGAAGGGATTCCTTTTAAGTCCCTGCAAGGACTCTGAACAATACAGGTAGAGACAGTTAATTCCAGCCATGTTGCACAGATAGAACTAGTTTATAAGTAAGAGCATCAGCAGTTACAAATCAAGGCAAACCACAAAGATAGAAACAAAATAAAGTTATTTAGACTTGCACATACCTAAAGAAAGTCTGAATTCTGGATCCAATACACCTTAAAACCACTTGGACAGACTGCCCAAGCCCTGGAGGAACAACTACTGGTAAATTCTGCCTCAGGTGGTACTGACAGGCAATGCCCAGAGTCCTACTCCCCTCTGCCAGCAGATAGGAGTGCAGTCAGTCATCATGCATCAGCTGAGCAACGAGTCTCCAGGTGTCTACATTAACAAACTGTTTCAACAGCGGCAAGACATACATCAGACATTCACAAAGGGAGGAAGCAAAGGCATCTCTCCAAAACAGCTAACAAAGCTCACTGCCATTAACTCCTCCAGCTCATGTGTTACATATTCAGTTTTTCATCATAATTTAAGAAGTCTCCATCATCCCATTTACAGACTGCAATAGTTTCCTTTTCTACATAGAGGTCCACACTCCAACACTTAGAAAGTATACTTCTTTGCTTCAGTGCAAGGGGGAAAAAAAACACAAAGATTCCTGCTCCTTCAGTAGAAGAACTGCATCTTAACTTGTAGCATTGACTTCAGCTCCAACAAATGCACATGGCACTCAAACAGAACTGATCTAACCCTCTGACTGGGTTTCAGAATCATCTGATGTGGTCTGCAAGTAGTTCTTAAGACATTCCTACTACTAAATTGAAAAAAATGATACAGACTGCATCTCACTGTCAGCACAGCCTGACGTTGAGATGTGCAGCACACAGCTTCCATGAGGCTGGATATCATGTTCACTGGCAGCATTCCTGCCTTTGCTGCACTCCTGAGCTAAAAACCTCACTACCAGTTCACATGGAGTAACTGTTCCCTCCCAACATTCACTTTTACATTAAAATAAAAGCATTAACTGTTACAGTGAGTAACCTACCAACTTTAAATTTAGATTCACAGCAGTGATTTGGATAAATATGTTAGTTACATTAAGCTGTAAAGTTTAAAGGACATCTGTAAAGGCAGTAAAGAAAATGTTCAGAAGTCAGGAAGAAACATAGGACTTTTCCCTATGGCATCGTGCATCCTCAGGGGTTTTGTTAATCTTTGTGAGAAGGCTCTGTGCAGCTCTGAGTCACTCAAAGTTCCATCACCCCTAAACAAGTGTTGCAAGCGTTACTCACATCTGTCCCAAAACTCAAGAAAAGCTGTATCAGTAGCAGACACCATCACTGTTAGAAGGATACATTCTGTCATGGCCGCAACATCCAGTTTGCTGATGTCAGGTGAGCCAGGGCAACACTTCTTGAACTCTTTCCGCAAGTCAAAAAAGGAGTAGAAGCATTCAGGCAGTAAGATATTCTGTAGAAGGAGAAGGTAGCAACTGTCAGCTCGGGCAAGTTTATTTCACTTTGTCTTTACACACCTAACTTTCCTTATAAAGGCTAGGAGAATAGCAAAAAAACAAACAGCCATTGCTGCAGAGAAGCACATATGTCTCCTCTCAGCCATTTAAGCAAGTTTATCAACTTGGTTTTTTTTTGCTTAAGCAGTGTCCTCTCTGTGGTTTAAGAAAGAGAAGTGTGCTTTTTCACTGCCAGAGAAACATTTGCTATTATTACTACTGCCTCAAATCCAATATGTAAGAGAGCAAACGCACGCTATTGCGATATTTATCGTCAATTCTTGGTTCCAATTTTTATTGTGAAAAGCCAGAGGGCACTCGTTTCAGTTCATAGAGCCAAGTAAATTTTGCAAGTCTAGCAGAAGGCATCTTGGTTTATAGACAAGGCAGAGTTTTCAGAGAAGAGTCATATTTCAAATATTTATTCCCTTAATAAAAAAGGAAACTGGGGCAGATGAAGGTTTGATATTGTGTAGAAATTATCAGCCTATGCTTGCTAACTGCTTTAATTACAGCACATGAAGCCAGGAGCAAGTCACAGAGTCAACTGCAAGCATCAATAAAATCCCTTTTGCCCCACAACTACACCTATCATACGCTTTTGTTTGTTTGTTTCAAGATGAGGAAAGAAGATCTGGGAAAACTGTTCCAACTAACACAAACACCCCTCTCCTTCAGCCTTTCTCAGAGCCACAACGCTCAGCACTCTGATTGGCAATGGTCTGCACTGCCTCTCCAGACAGAGAGCAGATTTAATGACAAGTCAGCATCATAGCAGGATGACAGGATACATGGATATACATTTAGAAAGCAAAAAGAAGTTTATTCTCTGTAACAAGTTCTGCTTTAAAAACATTAGAGCTTATCTTAGCACACAGACAGGTGCATTAGGCAAACGATCACCTTTAAAGACAAGCTTATGGAAATGCAGACGTGCTTGCCAAGACTGCCTGCTCTGGTTTTTGCACAGCTATTTTCTTCTTCCATCAGAGATCAAATTCTGCACTCAAATTCAGTTGGAACATTCAGCTTGGTTCTTAAGACCGGGCATCTTAAAGAAACATGCATTCCAGAGTCCTGTGACTTCTGCATATCTGGATTTTATCTGGCCTGAACATTCAAAGGCCAGGCTGAAGGGGGTCTGAGCAACTGGATCTAGCAGTAGAGATCCCTGATCACTGCAGGGGAGTGAGACTAGATGACCTTTAAAGGTCTCTTCCAACTCTAAGGATTCTATGATTCCATGATTTTTTGATCCGCACATCCCCAACCTCACCATCAGGGCATTCACCAGAAGACCGCAGGTCTCATAAGAAGAAAAGAAAGCAGAAAAAAGCCAATTTCTAACCAATAATTTGTAACAAAACAGCAGCAGAAGATTTTAGTGATAAGAATCAAATCGTCACCAAGACTGATATACAAGAAAAAGAAAAAAATAAAAGGAATCCTACTGCCTATACCAAACAACTGTAAGAGCTCTTCCTTCTGTTGTTCACATCATTTAGCTGCATGGGAAAGCTGTGTTTTAAAACATTTAAGACATTTTAAGTGGGAAAGTTTGTTGAAGACCTGTTTCCCCATTTCCTCCCATTCATGTTATACTCTAACACAAAGTTAAATGCATACAGAACTACTCCTTTATTATGAGCCACACGTGTGGCTTTTCTTCTAAGGTTTTTAAGGTATAAATAATAATGGCACTAACAAGTAATAAAGTGCTCATTTGATATCACTATCAGAACAACATGGACTTGCAGCATTGTCCCTTCAAAGATGGGGCAGTGAAAGGACAGGCACAGAGATCAGCAGCCCGTGGTTCAGACCAAAACTGCTCTGATGCAAAGCAGCGCACCTTCATAGCCAGCCAGGAAACAAGATGCTTTTAACACTGAGGCAGTGAATGCAGGCCTGAAGGCTTAGCGTATTGCTGCAACCCTATCACTAATGAAAAGTAAGCTGGAGCTCATAACACTGTTAGTGATTTGGCAACTCTGAAGTTACAGAAAACTCTACAGTACGGGTACTAGTCAGCCTTTCAGCATGCCTCCTACCACTGCTCCCTTCCTCACAAATGCAAGCACCGCCCTCACAGGGCCAACTGAGCATACAAAGATTGAAAGCTGCTGAAGCTAAAGGGGAATGTCAGATTTCAAAAGGCAGTTAACCACATTCAACATGAACTGTTTGGCAACATCCCCAAACTACCACTTGTTAACCCATTGTAGCTCCTGCAGCAGTACATCAGCAGATATATTCTGCTCATATGATGCCCCTTTCTCAAACACACAATTCAAAGACATCCTTCTGGCTTAACCTTGAAAGGCACCTGGGAGCTGCATAGACATTAGCATTCACCACTGCTTGTGCCACCCATGCAGACAGGCTCATAGTTTGCTAATTATACACTGAATGATAAACAATATTTGGATTACAGAGGTCCCCTCACACTACACATTTTGAAGAGAAGCTGTTATTATTTTTAAAGTGAATACACAGAGAACATTAAAAGGCAAACTTAAGAGACAGCTACATACCTTTTTGGAAGTTTCAGGATGCAGAACCTGTCTAATGTGCAACTGTCCATCAGTACAGAAACAAAAGGAAGTACCTACACCGATGTTCAGCTCATTGCTCACAGACTGATTAAACTGGAAGCAGGAACAACAAAAGACAAATGTAAAAGATCTGAGCTGCTGCATGAGGAAGTCTCACCAATTGATAGCGTTAATCCTGGCCAGCCGGATTACAGAGCTGGAGTTTCTTTTTCATTTGCCTGTTGCAGATTTATTGCTTACTAACTTAGTGTGTGATGTCCCTCATGGTATTATCTTCATAAGAAAATTGCTCTTTTCCCCCTTCAATCAAGATGTGGCCAGGCACACACAGTGTACATTGTGAAAATGATTCTTTTTCCAGAAGCATTTGTGCGAGCTCTGCAGAGAGGCAAAACTGGTTGCAGAAAACACACTTGGGCACACTGAGAGAGAAAGGCTTTCATCCCTGAGCTCAGTGAGAGTCCCATACACCCTTCTTATTTAGAAGCTTCAGTGGTACTACATTCTTTCCAGAGTAAAGAAGACACCACGAGCCTTAACAGGGCTTGCCAGCACCCAATCTTTTCACAGGACACCTCAGCTTAGCCACTTACATGAGTGAAGAGGCAGCTGCAGCTATGACTCAGGGCCCAGCAGGACAGGAGACAAGATCAGGGGATGCCTAGCCCTCACCTTCCTCTCCTAGGGGTTCAGTCCTACCTCTTAAGTTGGGAGAGCAAAAGAAAGCTTCACAACACCCATCACAAGCCTGACCCATGTGTGGGTATGAGTCTCTACTACTTCGATGGCAGGGAGGGAAGGATGTGGGGTAAATGCAGCTTTCCAGCTCCCACCCAGGGCCGCTAGCACCCATCAGCTGGCTACAGGGTATCACCTGTCTCAATGCCTGCTCCAGCGATGGAGCCTGTGCCAGGCTCTCCACGTCCACCTTGGTGACCTCGTGGCACTCAGCCGTCAGTTCCGGGTGGTCGGGGCGGACCAACACATCGTGCGGGTGCCCCAGCTCCAGGGAAAGCAGAGGAGGGGCGAGTCAGCACCCGGGTTGAGCTTCTCACCTGCAGCCCCAGCCCTGCCCTCCACCAGGACCTGCACCAGCCCAACATACCCACAGCCAGCCCGGCTCCCGGGCCACCAAGCGTAGCAAGGGGACAAGGGGAGCAGCAGCTCGGGGTCCTCCCTCCTCGCTCAGAGGGAAAATACCTTCTTAGTCCTCAGGTCGACCACCTTCCACAAGAGCTGGAGCAGCTCTCGCTCATCCGAGCCTAGCCTCGCCCCGTTGGTGCCCGCCGTGGTCACAAAAAGGATCACCAGGTAGTCGGGAGACGCCGTCATGGTGCCGCCGGGCCAGGGGAAGTGGGAAAGGATGGGAAGCAAAAAAAAAAAAAAAAGGGGGGGGGGGGGGAAAGAAAGCGAAGGAGAGGAGAAGGAAAAGAAGAGGCCACAAACTTTCCCTGCTGGAGGAGCTTCCAAGCAAGACCCAAGTGGTACAGCCCCCACCTGCAGCCCGGCTCCCTGGGGACTTGACGCGGGGGAGACGCTCAGGCACCCGTTTCCGTCCCCTTCCCCCCCTTCTATTATTTTTTTTTTTTCCTCTCCTGGGGGTGGGAGGCAGCCGCTCCCACGCCGGCTGCACCCCTGAGAAGCGCGCAATGGCTGCGGGCTTTTCTGTTTGGGGCCGCGGCCCTACCTGCCCGCCCCCCGGCCCACGTGGTGCAGGTAGCACACACACCTGGCCCCGCCCGCCCATTGGCCCCGCCGAGCCGGGACGTGGCAGCCGCGGGCAGGGGGTTGGCGGAGCGGGTAGCGCTGATTGCGGGCGGGGCTGGGACCAGACGGGGAGCTAAGCGGCCAGCGCCGCCCCGGCTCTTCAGGAGGCCCCGACGGGAATCCCCCCATCCCCAGCTCCCTCCTTCCCTTCTTTCCTCCTTCCCTCCTTCCTTCAGTCTCCTAACTCGGCGGCCCGCACCCCGCCGGGCACCGCGCTCCTCCCGCTGTCGGCAAGGTGCGCCCGCTCCTGCCGGGACACGTTGCGGGCGGGCAGCGCGCATCCCCGGCCCCTCCCGCCCCGCCTCGACGGGAGCCCCGAGCGGGCTCCGGCCGGCTGCTTCAGCTTCTCCCGCTGCCGTGCTTCAGACAGAGGCTTCCCTGCTGCACCGGTGCTCTCGAGCCGGCCGCGTTTGAGGGTATCCCCTAACTTTGGCACCGTGAGCGCAGCTCTTCCTCGAGGGCTGATGAACAGCGGTGGTTTGGTTCCTTGTGACGACAGCTTCTTCCCCGAAGGTTTTATTGTTATTATTATTAATTTATTTATTTTCACCACTAAATTGATTTCTTAAGTGCACATGGCTCAGAAAGTGATTTTCCTCTACAAAACTGCAGACAAGCTTGCTGAAAACAAAATCAAACAAATAACTCTGACTCTCCCCGATGAAATCCTGCAGCACGTCCAGTTCTTTAACAACCCTATGGCACATTTCTGGCTTCGTAGTGATGCTTCTTCACGAGTGTCTGAGAGAAGATTTAGGTTGGATGTCAGGGAGAAATTCTTTACAGAGAGAGTGGTGAGGTGCTGGAACAGGCTGCCCAGAGAGGTTGTGGATGTCCTGTCTCTGGAGGTGTTCAAAGCCAGGTTGGATGGGGCCCTGGGCAGCCTGGTCTAGTATTAAATGTGAAGGTTGGTGGCCCTGCCTGTGGTGGGGGGGTTGGAGATTCATGATCCTTGAGGTCCCTTCCAACCCTGGCCATTCTGTGATTCTGCGATTCTGTGAGCGTTTGCCAGGATGATCGTGCGCATTGTACTCTTGTCCATCGCCGCGCCTTGTGTCAGAGCAGGATCACAGCTTGCACCATCTCTCATTACCCCAAGCACATGGATGGTTTGGCAGCACAGCCCGTGTTTCGCAAGCGTGCTGGGCTTGGGGATCCTGCCAGCCACTCACGTTGTGCCGGCTGCCCTGTCCTGACGTGTTTTGTCAGGCTGCCTACAGAGCATGCGCCTTGCAGAGACTTTCACCAGGCTCCTGCTTGATAACTGATGTGCCCCAGTGACAGCCTTTGCACGGTGGAAGCTGCCTGGAGTCATTTTCAACTTTGGGGGGTTTTAAGATTCTGCTAATGGCATTCACTGACTGATGGCAAATGTGTTCCTACTGATTTAAAAGCTGAAATTTGATGCGTTAATCTACATTAGGAAACATCTGAGATGACTGTGCCCCGACTGTAGGAAGGGCAGAGCCCCTACTTTTCTTTGTGGATTTGTATTCTATCTATCTATCTTGCCTCTTTCCGTTTAGGAACCTCAGACTCCTGAACTTATTTTTAGCACAAGCTACCATGACACTGAGTAACCTCCTTCATAGATTAAACAGTACCCCGAAAGCATTTTCAATTTCCATTACGTCTCACAGGCTCTTCAAAGAATCACAGAATGGCCTGGGTTGAAAAGAACACAATGATCATCCAGTTTCAACCCCCTGCTATGTGCAGGGTTACCAACCACCAGACCAGGCTGCCCAGAGCCACATCCAGCCTGGCCTTGAATGCCTCCAGGGATGGGGCATCCACAACCTCCTTGGGCAACCTGTTCCAGTGTGTCACCACCTTCTGTGTGAAAAACTTCCTCCTAATGTCTAACCTAAACCTCCCCTGTCTTAGTTTAAAACCATTCCCCCTTGTCCTGTCACTATCCACCCACGTAAACAGCCATTCCCCCTCCTGTTTATATGCTCCCTTCAAGAATTGGAAGGCCACAATGAGGTCTCCCTGGAGCCTTCTCTTCTCCAATCTTCTCCACCTTCTTCATTAATCGGTACCTTACTTGTTTGCTATTTTTTGAAGCCACTTAGCATTAATTGCTACTGCAGTGCCATTACATTCTATTTTTCTCTTTCTTGGGTAACACGTCCCCTAAAATGCCTGTTTCCCAGTCACAGTTCCCATTCCACCCTGCTTCTTTTATGCCTCCAGTACCCGGTCTGACAGCATGCACCAGTTGGTCAGGTTCCTGTGTTTTGTTGCCCAGGCTCTTGGCATTTGTGTGCTGCCATTCCAGTTGCTTCTCCCTGGCTGTATGTTATCCCTGGGCCTGGTTAAGCGTGTTTGCGAGAAGTGTCATCTTCCAGATGACATCAGTGTTAGTACCTACAGGCAGGTACTAGGATGGTCTGGGGCACAACAACCTCTCACAGTTGTTGCTCTCCCAGCACTGTGTTCTCCCTGTACTTCTGTACTTGCTGTACTTCTCTCATATACCTTCTCCTCCTGCAATGTTTTACTTTTAGCCCCTTTGCTAATCTCGGTATAATCTCAGGTTTTCTGTCCTTTCTTTATTAGTTCTGACCCCTCACTCCCATATCACTTTGTACCACATTCTGTTTCAGGGGATTTCTGAAACTATCCATATCTTCCTGCATGCCAAGAAGCTGGTCTTAACACTGCCTTCCTGACCACTGAGACAGACCTGTGTGACTACTTCATAGAATCACAGGGTTGGAAGGGATCTCTAGAGATCATCTAGTCCGGCCCCCCTGCTAAAAGCAAGTTCCCTACAGTAGGTTGAACAGGAGAGCACCCAGGCAGGTCTTGAATATCTCCAGAGAAAGAGACTCCACAACCTCTCTGGGCAGTTTGTTGCAGTGCGCTGTCACCCTCACAGTAAACAAGCTCTTTTGCATGTTTGTTTGGAACTTGCTGTGTTACAGTTTTTGCTCATTTCCCCTTGTCCTGTTGCTGCACAACACTGACAGGAGCCTGGCCCCATCCACTTGACTCTCGCACTTTAGATATTTATAAACACTGGTAAGATCCTCTCTCAGTCTTCTCTTCTCCAGGCTGAACAGCCTCAGCTCTCTCAGCCTTTCCTCACATAGGAGATGTTCCAGCCCCTTCATCACCTTTGTGGCCCTCTGCTGGACTCCCTCTATATGATTTCTGTCTTTTTTGAAGAGGAGCCCAGAACTGGACAGTACACCAGATGTGGCCTCACCAAAGCAGAGGAGAAGGATAGCCTACTGCAACCTGCTGGCCGCTCTCTTTTTAATGCTCCCCAGGACACCTTCTTGGCCACAGGGGCACCTGCTAGCTCACGGCCAGCCTGTTGTACACCAGGACACCGCAGCTCTTCTCTGCAGAGCTTCCTTTCAGCAGGTCAGTGCACTCATACTGATGAGTGCGTCTGTACTTCTGTTCCTGAAGCTTCTTCTCTCTCACCATAAGCTCCCTTCCTCCAAGTTTATTTTATATCAGCCTGTGACTGCACATCTCATTTCTCCACGTTTCTCACAAGCCTGTGAGTTCTGCATCCCATCCTGCTCTATAGCTCCACAGCAAAATCTTCTGTTCATCCCAATACCACCTGCAGCTCTGTTCTTCTTCCCTGTGCAGACCTTTGGTCCAAGACAGATCTTCAATCACAGCTTTCTGCATCACCCTATTGTTTTCTTTCAAAACATCACCTTTCTAAAACCATAAGGGGAGAATCAGCAGAACTGTATCGTTTTGCTGAAATATGTTAATGGTTACCACCAAGTGTTTTTCTGATCTAATTGCTGCTGGGAATCAAACTGTTTTCCTCAATTTCACTGGTCAATAATTGTATCTGATCATCATCAATGACATTGTATTCATCACCACCTGAACCTAATGTTGCAAAACACAGAATTAAAGTCACAGAGGCACAACTGTTTCCAGCTATAGGGAGTCTCTGTAAATAAAAATGAAGGTCTGGAATCGCTCTACCACTTGCTCCAATTACTAGCATTAGCTGACCTGGCTGTGACACTGTTCTAAGAGAAGCCCTTGACTGTGTACAGACCACAGTGCTTCACTTGGAGTACATCTAAAAAGAGATGCTCTTGCATAAAAGTAAAAAAAAGAGCTTACTGGTATAACCAAAATAAGTCATGGCAAGTGCCACTACCATCTGTAAGGCAGTGTGTTACTTCAGCAAAGTAAATTCAAGTATTTGTTTTTCAATATAAATATGTTACATTTCACTCTGGGAGTTGCTTATCCATCAGGACAAGAGATGGTTCCAGCCCAGGGCAAGATTGAAAGCTGACTAATCATTTGCCAGTATTGCCAATGAGACCCTTTGATTCTCAAATTCCACAATGTTTCTGTGAAGGGATTTCCAGTATTTTAAGCACATCTGTGGAAATGGTATGGGGAGGCAGTGTTGTGATGTCAGTGGTCAGGCACTGGAGTGGGCTGCCCAGGGAGGTGGTGGAGTCACCGACCCCGGAGGTGTTCAAGGAATTGTTCGGATGTTGTGTGTGGGACATGGTCTAGTGAGTGCGATTGGTGATGGGGGGATGGTTGGACTGGATGATCTTGAAGGTCTTTTCCAACCTCAGTGTCTCTGTGATTCTGT